TTCCACATTCCTTTGTAGATGGTATTCAATACTGACAAAATTAATTCTTGAAAAGTGTTCTTATTATTTACACCTACATCTGTACATGGCTTCATTCTTTGTTTTTTTTTTCTGTCACAAGGGGCAGTCTTTCAAGAATATATCTGTAACAGTTTGTTCCTGTTATTTGCAAACATTATCCCCTAGGAAATATAATCGTTCTTCCTCTTTTTACAAAATCTGTAAATTTTTATGAAAGAAATTGTTGAGAACAGAGAATTCTGAGAAGTTCTTATGTACTGTAGCTGCTGTCATGGTACCCTCTACCAGTCGACAGATTGGTTTTTCACAGATACTCGCAGATGTCTCTAGATAAATAGTCATGTTATAGTGAGAAATGACGACAACAGTCTGGAGCTTTCTAATGTTTATTCACCGACTCTCTTTTTCACATAATCTACAAAAATTTATACTCTATTTTTCCAAAGAATTTTCCATTCTCATATTACAAAACGCTATTCATTATTTCCTAATTTAGTAATTTCATGAGACTTGTGTTTAATTTAAAATATTTAAAATATTTTCCGAATTACTCAAGCTTGGACCTTGTCCATATCGAGTATGCATGAGTTTTTAGAAACGTGCAAAGCTATAGAAAAATTAACCAATCAGATCCAACTATATGTGATTTTGAAATGTTCCATCCTTTCTTACTTCGAGAACAGTCTCTACACTTGTTGACACTTAAAGAATTTTAACTTGCACTCAATAACCTCCTACACATTTGATTCTGTTTTAATTGTTTTGTTATTATCGAAAGTGTATGTCATTTGCTTTACAACATACACCCCTTCTTCAAAAGAATTCGTCCTCGAATTCTAAAACTTTACAACAGTCATTTACGTCTGGGTTTTTGCGTTTTTCCCTATATAATCTGCCACCCTGGTAGAGGGTACTGTCATGGCAACGCTGTAAGGGACGCGGTGGCGCCCCGAACTTAAACAGTGGGAATAAAAGTGTTTGGAAATCCAAGACTCTTGTTGCTTACTTCTTGTCGATCGTTGAATATTAAATAGAACCTTACAACTCAACAATTTTGAATCTTGATTCTCTCTCTGTCTCTTATCTTCTATCTTTCTCTTATTAACCTATTTGGGGGCGATGGATAATAATCTAACCAAACCGAAATGGTGCATACCGTAACCTGTTGTCTTAATACTTAATAAAAAGGCCACAATGTATATTCTTCAGGGGTGGATCCAGGGTTATTTTAAGGGGGGGGGGGGTTAGGAGTGGCAGGACATGGATGCTTTGACCGCCCCCCTTGGCGTAGGGCTCGGGGCCCGCCGAATAATTTTGGTATTTTAGAGGGCGAACGGTGCCTTTCGGTACTGTTTAAGAACTATGATTCAGTAAGTCAAAATTCCAATTTTCAAGTGGGGACCATTGGTGTGATTTTTTCCCAGAAATTGAAGAGGGGTCAGGACCCCCCTAACCCCCCCTTAAATCCGTCACTGTTCTTAGACAGCATTTTTACTTGAAATCTATTATATTTTTCCATATTATTTCAGATATAATAATAATAATAGATATGTGCCTGGCACTTCAGATCAATCGAGTGTGACTCATTATATAAGATATTTTAATTAAAATTACATTAAGAAGAGTTCATTGCACGCAGCCACAAAAAGCTACATCCGGCTGAGTGGGCGACTGAGAGGGATTCAAATAAAGGGTATTAGTGAATTAATAGCGTTGTCTTCAGTTGTTCTCTGCACAGTACATATCAAGATAACCAATAGTTTTCCGTACCTAGGGTTATTGTTAAATCACAATGGAAAGTTCCTCACCACACAGAGAGCCGTAGTTGATCAGGGAAGTGAAGCAATGTTGACTGTAAAAAATCTCAGTAGAGACGTACTCTCAAATCATGGACATAATAATTATGTCCATGCTCAAATGTAGACACTGAACTTTTTCTCTTGATACATATGTGTTACCGAACCTGGACCATGGAAGCGAAGTCTGGGGGTTGCAATATTGTAAATTGATCTTGGGAGTAAAACCCTCTTTACACTGGACGGCGACCATAAAACTTGCCAGGTTGTCGTTGGACGCTCAAAGCACACACGGTGATCGCTTAGATCGCACACAGGACGTTCATGCATCGTTTATCGGTCTAGCAGGAGGCAGAAAGATTTTAGAATGATAGCCACTGAACGTTGATGAAGGTACAGAGAACGTAACGAAGGGTTCGTAATGAACCCTTGAACCCGTAGGTTGTGCAGGGGACGCACAGGGGAGGCAGGCGGGTAGCTCAATGGACGCACAGGTCGCTCTCTGTTTTACCAGTAAAACCTATATTCGGTCGTTCAAAGAAGGCACAAGGGACGAAGAAGCATTTACACTGAGACATGATTGAATTGCTTTGGCGACAATTGAGCTACTTGACCACATAATTGATTGTAGAAGGGACGCAGAAAGGACGCCGTCCACTGTTTATAATAAATTAAGGCGAATCCCACTAAAATACTACAGAATGATTAGCATTGAGAAGTATTGTGTTATTTAGAACTTTATTTTAAGAGGAATCTATGACAATCTACCATTTTCATGCAATGAGTTTGCCACGCTGGGGTGTAGGTAATTAACACGGGGTTTTTAATTGTTATTCGAGGTTGAGCATTTTAATTCAAGCAAAGGACACATTTTGCCTGCACTAAGTTAACTATTTATTTGATTTTTTAATCAACAACCAATGACTTTCATTGTGTGACCTCACTGAACAAGCAGCAGGTTATATGATACAAAAACAGTACCAGTGGGTTTTACGCTTTTTGAAAATTTCAAAATTGGGAAAATTTCAATATTAATAAATTAAAATTATAAAATTTTTTAATGTCAGTTGGTCCCGTATGTAACTGATAATAACGCATGGAATTATTCTTGTTGTCCCGTGATCCAACCATATCACAATGCAGCAAGCAGTAAGTAAACTAGCAGCGTTTCTTCCTTAATATATTATGACCAATTAATAATTCCTAATTTTGACTACCATTAATTTCTCAGGATTTCTTTGTAAATTTAAGTTGATATTTGAAACTGTTCTGGTAATTTTAATCATTTGCTGTTCTTTTTTGTCACAAATTTATTATCTTGAAGCACCGGAATAATCAAAACATTCATTTCATTTCCAAATAATTTTGCTAGTTTTCTTGGATCTGCGCATCTAACATTCATATGTCAAAATCAAAGCCGGCACAGATCAGATATCGCATGTATCGTCATCAGCACTTAGTGTTTGCATCTAAAAGCATTGTTTATAATATCTGAGAAAATAAAACAATGTCTAAGTGAATGCCTGGTCGCTAAAAGCATGTCTCCCAGGTGGAAATGAAGCGAAGTCGGTCTCGTTCTCACTATCCGCCGAGGCATCAATGTCCTCAATGTTGCCGAAGTCTCCTTCCGTGACGTATTTGTTTGCCCCGATAGATGTCATCTGGTGTGTGTGTAGGCCATGGGGGGCGACCTACGGGGATGCTCTGGCATTGAGCTGACTTTATATTTCTGTCCCCAGACACAGCGATAGGCAATAACAGCAATAAGGCACAGTGCCACCACTCCACCCACTGCGCCTGCGCCGGCCTTGAAGCCCACCGTCTGGTACCATGGTTCTTGTGGGGACTTTACCACAGTGGCTGAAATAAAGGGAATATAATTTGTTTCATTTACTTGCGGTAATTTTTTTTCTGTACATCATCCTCGGTTTACCTTTATTTCTTTCATTTCTTTTGGTCATTTCACTTTTTTCTCAGCTTGGCGTGTTCCCATGACAATTTTTTTGTAAATATACATGTATATGTTCAGAAAACATACAGGCATTGCACGTATAACTAATATAAGGAATTAGGGTCACTTGGAAAACGTATCATTATAAAATTACCCTATTAGCCTATAGGCTAATCACCGGGTGTGGAAATTACTTACTTTTTATCAGGTGTTTGTATTCGTTTAGATAAAAGCGGGATTCAATTCATACGTGTTAACTTGGTCATTGTTTTGAGCTACTGTAACATACCTTGTGTTGTCGTCGTCTTCGGCGTTGGTACTGTCTCACCACTTGTCACTTTACCCGCGGTGCCCGTAGTTGAAGAACTCCCAAGGGTCGTGGAAACCGGTGCTACGGTGTTAGTCGTAGGGTTCACAACGACTGTATTATTTCGTTCCTCAACAAGGTGTCCGTAGACAGAAATAACAACAGGCAAGATGGCGGACTTTGGTGGTTCTCCTCCATCCTCCGCCAAAATGGTAAGGTCATATCGATACTGGGCTGGGTAACGCACGACGATCAGCTCTCCGGTGTCTTCATTGACAGCAAATACAGCATCAGGGTTTCTCTCGTTGGTTATAGAGTGTCGAACCGTTCCGTACGACCCACTGTCTTTGTCTGTGGCCAGGAACCGCCCTACAGTTCGTCCTAGCTCGCCACTGGCATTCACTGGAATCTCTGGAAAACCAAACAACTGGAAAAGTGGAGCGTTGTCGTTGACGTCTTGGACAATGATGGCGACCTTGGTGGCAGCACTCTTGGGCGGTACGCCCTTGTCAGATGCAACTACTGTCATAATGAACTTCCGGGGAAGACTGTCGTAGTCCAGTCTGGCTACCACTGATAACTGTCCCTGACTGTCCATGTTGAAGAACCGCTCCGCTCCGTTGCCTCCAGAGAAAGTATACTCAAGTTTGCCATTTCGCCCTGTATCTAGGTCTGTCGCGTTAATCATGGTAATGTTCTCTTGAAACACGATAATAGTCCCTGGTGGGGCATTCTCCGGCACAGTGCCATTGTACCAGTCGTATGCAAACATTGGGCTGTGATAGTTCGAACCAATTCTAATAGAACAGTCGACGCCGTCGTATTCATCCAGACACTCGCACTGGTTAGGTGAGACGCAACTTCCATTACCAGAGCAGTTGGCCACATCACTGCAGACGGGCTCGTCACAGCGTTCACCCACCCAGAACACAAGCACGTGTCCAATGATACGCACTGTCCATTGCCTGCATAGAGGAAAGGCAAACACAAGTATGTCACATAGCGTAATATAGGGAGAGCAACAAATGTAATCGTTGCGGAGCTAACACATAAGGCTTATGACTTTGTTTGAAACTAGTTTATTCCACAGTAAGGCAATGCAATCGTGTGCATACTCCCAATGAACGCATTACTGGCAGTTATCTTCTTGTCAAGTTGATGTTTTTAACCCTTTTTCTTTGAAAATAAACAGGTAAGTCGCACAGTTAAAAGAAGTATACAACCATATATTGTGACATTGTGGGTATGTATTGAGTTATACAGTTATTACCAGAGCAGTATCCAAGAGCTTCACATGAGAAATTAGAGCAGTCATTTCCCCCGAAGCCTGGGTCACAGTTACAGAGGTTGGGCTCCAAACACGCACCGTGTCCTGAACAGTTGTTTACAGTAGAACATGAGACGGTGTCACACGTGTCGCCACGGTAGCCTTCAAAACACCTGTTGCAAATACCATTTTAGAAGGGAGAAAAAAAATCATAAATACATGCACTGTTTTCCTCCCTCTGAAAGTCTCTAAATTTGTCATAACGCTAGTCGTAAAAATTATAATAACAATTTTAATATCATCTTATTTTAAGTGTCATAAATAGACCCAGCCCACGCTTTAATCTTACATATATTTTAAAAACAGTAGTTACGCGTCAATTTAATAGACAATGGCTGTGGGATTTCTGTTATTATGGTATATATAACCATACCTTAAATGAAGTTAACGAAAAGTACCATACCTGCACATAACAGCCGTATCATTGCCTTCAAAGGCAGCGCATATACCGTGGTCATTACAGTCATTTAACGCTGTGCAATTCTTCACTGCGGTACAGTTTTCACCTTGGTAAACGTCATAACACGTGCACGTGTGAGGTGACGTACATACCCCGTGTAGGGAGCAGTCATTATTTGAAGAACAGTCTGGCAGAGCGCAGCTGTGGTCCTCAATACATACCCACAAATCCTGGTAGACAGCGACACCTGTTGGTCCTATAACACACACCGTAGTCCTCAATACATGCCCACAAACCCTGGTAGACAGCGACACCTGTTGGTCCTGTAACACACGCAGTGGTACNCACACGCCGTGGTCCTCAATACATACCCACAAATCCTGGTAGACAGCGACACCTGTTGGTCCTGTAACACACGCCGTGGTCCTCAATACATACCCACAAATCCTGGTAGACAGCGACACCTGTTGGTCCTGTAACACACGCCGTGGTCCTCAATACATACCCACAAATCCTGGTAGACAGCGACACCTGTTGGTCCTGTAACACACGCCGTGGTACTCAATACATACCCACAAATCCTGGTAGACAGCGACACCTGTTGGTCCTGTAACACACACCGTGGTCCTCGTAAGTGCAGTTATTCACATACAGACACGTAGCTGGAATAGTGAAGGGAAACTTATGTATTGTGAGGTATGGCACATTATGATATGCAGCACACCTATTCCTCTTCTATACACTTACTCATATTATAGCGTTACTCATGTGTTGTTGATGCGATGCTATGAAGTTTTCTATCAAACACAATATTATTAAAATAAAATACATCATGATTAAATTAATTCTACTCGACATAACTGCTTGTTTCTATATGCTTTTTTAATGTCTCTTCCTGACCAAAAATAATTATAATAATAATAAAAAATAAAAAATAATAAAATAAAAAAATAAATAAATAAAAGACTTGAAGTCGTGACTGCAAAACATTTGTTTATTAACAAAAATGATGCTGGTCAGGCCACAGCCGTCAGAGGAATGCTTGGTGGTGAGGCGTGGCGAGCGAAAGGAGAATAAATACTATACAGTCAAAACTGTGACTAACTGTGAGTTGTGAGTACCCTATAGTTACCTTTCTGGTAACAGGCTGTCCCTTTCCAGCCCACGTCACACACACAGAAACCGCTGTCACACACACAATTGACGCAGGCACCACAGGAACCTTAATTAACCGGAGTGATATTGGCGTGAGTATTGTAACGAATTGTATAATAATTCAAAACATATCTAAATTATTTAAAAACATTATTATTATTGTTGTTGTTGTTGCACAGAGCAGTGGATGTCGCAGTTTCATACATATTAAGAAACGTGATTTTGTCAAACGCTTTTTAGACACAAAGTGGAAAAGAAAAAGTGGAACAAAACATTTAAATACACATTAAATATATTTTTGCTAAGAGATGTCAAATCTACCTGAGACACAAAATGTCCGCCATTTGTTTCCATAATGTCGAAAATGGGTTCCCTTTTTCCTAATTTAGTCAGGTTTGATAATCTACACGTTTTTAGGCTAAAAAAGTGATGGCAATATGAAACATATTTTGGTACCTAATTTGCATAACTTATGCGTGTCTCTATGGATATTTTTTTATTTGGGCCAAGGAACATTCATGCCAAGTTAGACATTTGTACCATAAAATGCAGCATTTGACCCCTTTACAAGCCTACTATGTAGGAGAGCATTCACATCGAGCAGAGCCGCGACCTAAATATGGCGGACCTACATAAAAGTGAAACCGCTTAATCCTGTAATGGTCTCTTCGCCTCTAACACGGCTTCCCACGCGTCGTCCCTCGACCGGTTGAATTGAGCCGAGGTTTAATTAGTGTGCCCCTGCAAGGGCGACGAGCGGGGAGGCGTGTGAGAAGAACCGAACCGACTGCTCGATTTCTAAACATGCCAAAGAATATTACATACATTAACAAGCCCAATTTTCTACACCTACAAACCATATGGTATTTCATCGCCATACTCTGAATTTCGAAGAGAAGTCAAGAACAAATATGTTATCAAGCTAATCGGTATATTGATCATACTCTCACTTAGTTGTTGTATTATTTTTTTCCTTATGATTCACATGACTCGGCAAATTTCACTGCCTTGTCCTTGGTGACCACGGTGCCATTGGCCATGGTGAAATCGTTGTCCTGGTTGTCGTCCATCAGTCCACACAGTCCAGACGTCTGCCCCTAAAAACTGGCAGTTAGACCAGAACGCACGTTAAGGAAGAGACGCCTTATCACCGGACTGAACCAGACGTCTACTGTGACAGATACACCTAGGGGGAAATAATGCGTTGACACAATCAGTGCCATTCACCACAGGCGTGAGGAAAGGAACGGGGTAACTATTAAATTTGTTTCAAAGAAGTGTACAGAGTCACTAAACCATTTGTTCTACACCTAGGACTACCATAATTAAAATACGTAGCTAAGCCCTCCAACCCCCTCTCCCCCCTCCCGTTGTAAAGTTAAAGAGAGTCCGCTTCCCATTCATTTGTACAGGTGAGCCTCGTCCAAGATTTTGACCCACATAGGTCAGGCTAACCTTTCCTTTGCTTTTCAAGACGGTATGATTAGATCAGAAAATAAAGATCGATGCATACTAAACCCCCGGAGAATTGTAATGAAAAATTATATTAATACTCTAAAATATACACCATTATAACTATACGGAGGACGGACTTTCTGTTACACGGACCCTCAGTTTTATGATTTTTTAAAGATATTATTAAAATGATAATGTAGAAAAACCTGTATATCTGGCATATAAAACGCATATACGTTAGATAATTCTTTTTTATTCAGAATTGACGGGCTAGTCCAGAGCATAACCAAAACAGCACAAGATTGACGGTTAATAACGACACCGTCATTGCAGACATTGCTAAAGACAGGAACAACGCCACTGGTGCCGTGATTATAATTGCAATCCAGTATGACACCGGTATATATACTGTTATATTTATGTTCTTTCACCTTAAGGCGCACAATTTGAAGAGAATATCTTCATATATACACCGGCGTCCAACGACTATGCCATACCATATACAGTGGAACACATACCAGTTATCAACTTAAAGCCCATATCACATCCAATGCTAATGGTGTACGAAGATATTCTTTTCAAATTATGCGCCTTTCCTTTGCTTTTCGAGACGGTATGATTAGATCAGGAAATAAATAACGATGCATACTAAACCCCCGGAGAATTGTAAAGAAAAATTATATCAATACTCTAAAATATACACGTATGTTACAAATGTGATTCAAAGTATGTTATACCTTTCCAAACATTTTGAAAAACTTGTCTAAAGATAAAGTTATTTAAATTCGATGAGAAATGTTGACGATGTTCACCCACCATCTGCTGTCTGTAAGTAAAGCTCATCTCGTATGTTTCTTGGTATTCTGACATTACAACAGACGCCGGCCCAGATTGGGAACACACGTACCTGGAGCTACAGTGGTACGACTGAGGGGTGCAAACACCATTGCCGAAACATTCCGAAATACTTCAGGCGTGTTTGTAATGTAAAGGTCCTACCAACGACTTTTTGTATGAATCCAATGTAATGTAAAGTCCTTTTTGTATTGTAGTTTAATAGAACATTTAGCTGACATAAGATGCAACCAAATAAATGTTGTTTGATATAATGATAATTAATTTAAAGGAAAAAAACATTTGTAAAAAATGAAAATAATTGTCTATTATGCTGTGTAAATTCATTCAACCGTGCCAGCCCACGGCACATTTACACTTAGATTTAGGACGATTTACCTATCAACCCGTTGTCTGTCTGTAAACTATAGGGTTCACAGTGCGGCTGGTCACACTGCTCTCCACGTCGACCTCGTACACAGGCAGGGCACAGTCCACACTGGGTCTTCTCACGGCAAACACAGCGACAGTCTTCCCACACGGGCTCGTAGGCAGAGTTACACACCGGGCAGCTGTAGAGGCGAAAAAAGACATTCAAATCAGATAACTTCTAGTAGTTCCGAAACTTAAAACACGTAATACTGCAAACAGTTCCCCCATTACAAACATTCGATAAATTACAGAATATAACAGGTGTCCACATTTATTAATATAAGCATATACCTGTCTGTGCTTCTACGTGGGGTGCAATATACGCACACATCATTCGAACAGTAACACGTTCCATCACTGGCTATAACCGTGTTCTGGCAGTTTTTACATTCACATGAACAATGACAGCCACCGTCAGGTTTAAAGGTACCATAACCGCCATTTGGACACTCACAGCCACACTACAAATATACACATTGATATAATGTGTATATCGATTGATATACGGATGTCAAAAGCATTAAAATTGTACACAAAATTTCACTAAAATATCAACGTTTTGCCTTGGTTCCATTATTTTTAATCAAAATTATAACAATGGTGTGTGGATTGTACTGCACATCGAAATGATTCGATTCAACCATAATCTTAACAAATTATTTACTTAAAACCTCATTGAAAATTAACATAAATTCGCCATTTTTATTTTATGAATATGTATATGTACTGTAACTCACACGTGCCGTCCGCGTTCATCTTGCGTGGCCAACCGTCCGCACAGTGACATGGACACGCAGACTGGGAAGGGTCATCAGTGACCACCTTTTTAGTTTTACCATCCGGGCACATGTCACACTGGCAACTGTGGTTATGCTGTCAACCATAACCAAGTATAAACAACTGGTTCAATATCATAATATGACTTTCATATTTATATTTCAAAAATTGCCATCCACTTAAATTTGCAAATGTTTTCTTTGGTTGCGTTCGGCCACAAAATTTTGATGCTGAAAGACTAATTTTATGTCGAGAACGGACTTAGAAATGTATGAAGCAAGAGAAAATGTCCTGCAACATATAAAATTATTAGTACCGGGGTTGTTAAGACAATAAAAACACAAATCACATCAATACTACTGCTTCCATCCGGACAAAGGCAGGTACCCGTCCAACAGGACAC